TGCCTTCATCATGGCGGAACTTGCAAATTCACGAATCCACTGCCTTCCATCATGGCGGATCTTGAGGATTAAAGAATGAATGCAGGTAAAGAACACAGAACAGTGCCAGGCAGGCCCTAAATGCCCTGCAGGGGGATTGCTGTGGCAAACACATCTACTACTACTATTACAAGTGCACGGAGTTCAGAGCCAGGAGCAGCGGGGTTACCATCCTGGTTCCACTGATAACCAGCTGTTTAGCTTGGGTATACCTCTCTGTCCAGCTCAACCCCTTCTCCCCAACATCCCCGGCCACGAGCTCGCTCCCTTGTGGTGCTTTCACTGCACCCCACTCCTCACTCTCCCTCCAGCTCTCCTTCCTGCCTTTGCCCTTGACGGCAAGTCATGCCTCACTTCCCTCACCTTCCAGCCCCCAGCCCCTTTCATCCTTGGCTTGCACTTCCCTAACGGTGGAGATGAAGTAGAGCCTCCTAGAGGTGGTACACTCACTCTGGAAGGTGTTTCAAAAGATCCCTCGTTTTTAAATTCCAGAATGAAAAGGCCACCAGGGGGCATCAGTCAGTGGGAGACAGGGACATCCCTAGTATCCTGGGGGAGGACAGCAGCACACCCAGGCCCACCCACACCTCCGGAGTCCTCAGTGACTCCTTCAGAGACCATATCTTGTGGGGGGGGGGCAAAGTGCACTTACTAGAGCTTAAATTGCTTCAATTGTCTTGGCATTGCGCTGGTTCTGCCCAGAAACCTCTGGATACATAGAATCAGCTCTGAGGAACACTGGAGAGACAACTTTCTCATCAAGGAGGAAGCTAGCCTGGAATGTTCCTGCATAAGATTGCTTCTCAGAGTCCAGGAGTTTAGTTGCTATGAGTGACCTCTCCAAAGAGGCTCGCCCTGACTAAATCAATGAGCTTCAGGGCTGTAATATTCTCCAGGAACCAGAAATCTCAGGAATTCCCAAGTCAGTCTTGACTCCTGATTTTTACCAAGTTCAGATTTAATTCTATTCCATTTTAGGTTCATTTGGGGGATAAATACCGGATACCAGTGTGTGGGCACTGGAGCCAGTTTGCCTGGGTTCAAACCTTGGTTCTGACACCGGTTCTGTCACCTGGGGCAGCTCCTCTGTGACTCAGTTTCCTCATTTGTCAAACTGAGATGGTAACCGTACATACATCATGGAGTTGTTACAAAAACTCAATATGCTAACTTGTGTAAAGCATTTAGACTAGTGCCTGGCACATAGCAAATCCCAATAATTGTTGACTATTATTATTAGCAGTAGTATTCTCCACCTTGCTCTCTTAGACGTTCTGCTTTCATTCCATACCTCTCCCCTCTTGCCGTGGTACATGGTGTTCTGCAAGAGCTCTCTTGGGCATCAAAGAATGCTCAGTCTTTAGACTGCCCACTGTCAAAAAAGACATCGATGCTCCAAAAAAACAGTAATAATAGGTACCCTACATTGAACTCTTACTATGTGCCAGATTCATAATATCCGCTACCATCCACTGAGGTAGATGAGCACTATAATTATATAATGACTTCACATCAAGGCTCAGGGTTGAAAATCAAGGCTCAGAGAGGTGAAGTGACTTACCCAAGGCTACACAGCAAGGCATTAACAAAGCTGGGGGCTAGAAAGATCCCGGTCTGGAAGACTATTTTTACCAGCAGAAGTCTCACCTAAAGCATAGGCCAGGTGGGAGCTTGAACCTAGCCCTTTTAGGCTGAGTGGGAAAGTGGTAAACAGAGAAGTAAATAATTGGTGGGAGGCTAGGAGGGGCATTGGTCTGGAGCCTAAGGTGGTGTTAAGCCTACAGCCAGAGTGAACTTTCCACACCTGCTCAGCTTGGGTCCTGCCCCCTTTCCTCTAAAACCCACCTGGAGCTAACATGCCTGCAAGCAGGGGCAGTTTGGGGAGGCTGGAAGAGCCCCCCAACAGTGCACCCACCCCAGGAGGAAGGGAGATGGCACAGATGGTCCTCGCCTGGCTCAAGAGTGACTCAGCAGGGGCGAGGTGTCCTCCCCCCTCTCTCGCCAGCTGAGGGTGTGGGTGGAAGGCTGAGGATAAAGGACCAGTTGGGCTTTGGGAGCTCTCCTCCCACCCGCACCCCTTGAATACCCTTAGGAGGCCACACTGCTGGAGTGTGGGTGGAGGATATAAGGAGTCTGGACACTTGGGTTCTCGCCCCAGTTTCCTCCATGGGTCACCTTCTCACTCCCTTGTCCCCTCTGAGCCTGTTTCTTTATCCATTAAAATAGGTGTGAAACCTCCCAAATAGGGGTAATAGCAGGAATGATCAAAGAATCAGGCACACAGTAAGTGCTCCATAAGTGCTGGGTCCCTCCTGACCTCACTACCACCCATCCCCCTCTTAGGCTGGCTGGCTCTCCGAGTCCATGCAGGCAGCTTTAGGGTCAGATGTGGTAAGGACTTGGGAAAGTCACTTCTCCTCTCTGAGTTTCTGTTTCCCCATCATTAGGAGAGTACCACCAGGGCTGTGGCGCTGGTTGTGAAAGTTTAGTAATAACCAATCTTAATTGAACATTTAGTTTGTGACATGGCTTCACAGGGGCTAAAGGCTTCATTCACATGGTTAATCCCATTTCTCGCCACCCAATGTGGTGGGCGCTGTCATTACCCCATAGAGCAGAAGAGGAAACTGAGGCTCAGAGAGGCAGAAGTGATAGCTCCAAAATCAAGCCTAGTAAGTGGCACGACAGGGATTGACACTTGAGGAGTTTGACTCCAAAAGGGCCCAAGCTTCCATCCGTCCATCTGCTGGCTCAGCAAAGCGGTCCCAATGAAGACCGAGGTCCCCACCTGCTTCCGGGAGTTGAGGGCGCCTCTCTTGCCGCTGGAGGAGAAGCGCCGCTGGCCAGCCGGGGGGCCCTGGTGCGCAGAGCCCGAGTGACCCCGGTCGCCAGGAGGCAGCGGCCCCACAAAGAGGACGCGCGCTATGAGCACGTAGAACGGGGTGGCCAGGCCCAGGGGCAGCGCATAGAAGAGCGCGAAGTCCAGGAAGTAGATGGGCGGGTAGAGAGAGCGCGACACGCGGTAGCCGCACTGCACCTGCACGCCGTCGGCGTAGGCGGTCTCGCGTGTGTCCACCAGGAAGAGCCAGAGCACGCAGTGGGCGCTGGTGCCCAGCCACACCGATGCCGCGATGCGCTTGGCCCGCGCCACCGGGCACAGAGTTTGGGCGCGCAGCGGGTGGCAGATGGCGAGGTAGCGCTCCACGGTGAACGCGGTGATGGAGCCTGTGGACGCGTTGATGCCCACGTACTGCAGATAGGTGACGCCCAGGCAGCCGGCGTGGCCGAAGACCCAAGCCCGGGCGGACGCCGCCTCGGCTACGGTGGGCACTCCCGCCACCAGGAGCACCAGCAGGTCCGCGGCGGCCAGGCTCACCAAGTAACAGTTGGTGGGTGTGACCATGTGGCGGCTCCGGAGCACCACCAGGATCGCCGTAGCGTTGCCAGCCACACCCACGGCGCACACGAGGGGCACCAGGGTCAAATCACCGCTTGTACAGCTAGCGGAGGCCGGGGCATGGTGCCCAGGCCCGACGCGACCGCGCGCTCAGAGTGCTCGGTGTGGTTCTCCATGCGCTTGGGTCCGCACTGCACCCCGAAGGCAGTGGCGAGTTGGGGGAAGTACCCTCACTGCAGAGGTGCCTTCTCGGGATCTGGAGACGCTCTCCGTGCGGGAAGTTGGGGGTCCGGCAGCTGCCTCCTGCTGAACAGGTTGCTCCAGCTCCGTGCAGGGTCTCACTGTCGCCGCGTAGGAGGCTGGGGACTCGGAGGAGTCAGGAGCAGGAACCGGGAGATAGGCGCGTTGCTGCTCAGTTTCCAAGACGCCTTTTAAGTCTAAGTTGGCGCGATCTTTCCCGGGGTGAGGTTTACTGCAGGGATGCGTTGTAGACTGTAGCGTGGAGCTCCAGGAGGGCCCTGGGCGCGCAGATGCTGCCCCCCCCTACAGACCGGCTGCTGGCGCCCTCTCAGGTCTTACCTCCCCTCTCTAGGTTCGCGGGGCTCAGGACTCTGATCTGGGGTGTCCGGTCAAGGAGGCACGGTGCGTGGTGTGGGGTCTCCGCCTCGCTAGCCTTTCTCTTTGCTCTGCTTTCCGCGACCACCCGGGCGGGCTCCTCTGCGGGAGTTAGCGTGTTTCTCCCCTGATACCGCTTAGCTGATTCTGGTTGACCCGGTCCGGCACCCGTTCTTTCCCACCGGCTCCTGCACCGCACCCTGGGCACTTGCGGTCAGGTGGGGGGATGCAGGGTGCGGTGGGGAAGGGATGCTAAAGGCAGCAGTGGTACAGGGAGCCCTGCTTGCACGCCAGTTTCTCTCGTCTACAGGGGCGGCTCCGCGGGGCAATGGGGGAGGAGTCGGCCACCCGCTGGCTTCTGTTCTCAATCCAGAAATCCTATCTTGTTTTCACTGGCAGAAACCTCAGCCCTGCTATTGACAAATGGCCATCCGAGCCGAGGCCCAGAGCTGCTGGGAAACGGAAGGTATTTGCCCATCTGGACTTGGGTTGGTCCTGTCTCCTAAACTCGCATCTCCTTGTTACTTTTCGCTTTCTCCTGCTAACCTCTCCCAGTCTTCTTTTCTTCCTCCTGCAGAAGATCAGGAAATTGGAAATTCTTGGCAGGTGTGCCCCGCCCCCAGAAGGATCTCTCCTATTCTAAGACTCTGCCATTCACAAGGCACAAACCAGTGAGGAATCTTTATAGCTCCGTGTCTGCTACAGAGAAGGCGCCTCATGGTAGTTAAGCGAAGGAAAGAACTTGTTTCTTCACCAGACAAAGCTTCGTGAAGGTGAGATCCACTGAACTTCATAAAAAGCATAAAGGCTGCTTTCTAGGAAGCCCAGCTCTGTACCTGCGCAGAGCAGATGCTGTGGAATTGTTTGCCGCTTCCGATCCATCAATTATGCTCTATAAAAATTATTTTTCATCTGTGAGATGGGCTAATAATGATAGAACTCATCTGGGAGTGTCCTTGGAAGGCTTACATGAGGGACAAAGGAAAAATGTACGCAAAGTGCTTAGCTGTGCTCCACAAGGGGGTGAATGTATTAGTGATGACAGTGATGATCTATCCCTCCCCGCCCCCCTCCACCCACTCAGTCTACAGATCTGATAAATGGACAAAAATAAATGTTGGGGAACTTGGCAGGGCAGTTTCTTGGGGGCACAAGCCAGGGTCCAGGACATCCCTGACATGGCCACGGAGTCCCCATTCTTACGCCCCCCCCATACCATACCACTTCTCTGCCCTATACCCTTCTCTGGGATCCTCAGCAAGAACAATAGCAAAGCATCCTACTCAGAGCCAAACACCATGCTATATTCATTATCTCTATTTTCCCCAGCCCTGGCTGGGCAGGTACTCTTGGCCCCATTTTATAGATGAGGAAATTGAGGCCCAGAGGGGAATGATTTCTAATGTCATGCAGACCAGGGCCAAGCAGGAAGCAGAACCCCAACACTCTCCTTGTCCCCACCCCAACCCCAGCCGTCCCTTACTCAGCTCTTTCCAAGGCACCAAATGCCAGTTAAGCCCAGGTTCCTCCTCCCCAGTCTTTCCTCCTCCTCCCTGAGTGTGGTCCAGAGCAATCCTTTTAGCCATATTAAATGCAAGCAGCTCCTTGGGCTTCTCTCCCTCTAAGCCTGCCAACTCAGCTCTCTCCCCTGCCTAATTGAGCTGTTCACTTGCCAGCAACAAAGGGCAGTACTTGGCAATGAACTAAGTACATCTCAAGTGGCAGTCTTTATTTTCCCATACCCTACCTCATCCCTAGTCTTCCTCATCTTAGTAAAGGCATCTTGGTAATGCCACCGGCTGCTAAAACCTCCACCCGTTTGTTAAAACCAAATATTCAGGAATTACGTCTCTTTCTCCCTCACTGCTGGCATCCAGTACTTAAGGAAGTCCCTCAGTTCTACCTCCAAAACATACCTCAGATTAATGCACCTTTCACCACTATGCCCTGGACTGGCACTTTCCTCCAACCCGAACCTCTTGATAGGACAACTGCAGTCGCTTCCCAGGTTCTCTGCTACGTTCTTGCTCTTCACTCTATGGCCCGTTCTTCATACAGTATCAAGTGATCTCTTAAAAATGTAAGCCACTCTCCTGCTGACACCCTTCAGTGGCATTGTTTTGCACTTGAAATGAATCCAAACTCTTTCCACAAGCCCCAGAATGCCCTGCAGGATGCGGCCCCTCCCCACCTCCCCCTCTTACTCATGATGCCTTAGCTAGACCCTCCGTCCTTTTATCTGTTTAACATGGTGTGATGGTTGGATAGTGTCCCCCCAAAGTTCACATCTACCCAGAACCCCGAAAGTGACCTTATTTGGACATAGGGTCTTTGCATGTGTCATTAGTGAAGATGAGGTCATCCTGGATTAGGGTGGCCCTAAATCCAATGTCTGATGTCATCGTAAGAGAAAGGAGAGGGAGATTCAGACACAGAGGAGAAGCCATAGGAAGACAGAGGCAGAGATTGGAGTGCGGCAGCTACGGGCCGGGGAAGAAGCTGGGGAGAGGCAAGGGAACGTTCTTCCCTTGAGCCTGCAGAAGAGCATGGCCTTGTGGACACCGAGGCTGCCGACTTCCAGCCTCCAGAAACTGTGAAAGAATAAACTTCTGTTATTTTAAGCCCCCTGGTTTGTGGTGCTTTGTGGCAGCGGTCTGGGAAAGCTAATGCACATGGCAAGCACCTTCCTGCCTTGGAGCCTTTGTCCTTTGTACTCTGTACACGATTTCCTTCAGCTCAGTGCCCAGCCCAGATGCCCCCAGTCATGGGTATGTGATTCCTAGGGTGGGAGGGAGGGTGATGCTGGCTGGTGGGGTAGTAGAGGCTCTGCTCGCTCAGTCACTCAGTGAACACCCACAGAGCACCTGCTCCCTGCTGGGTGCTGGGGATACGGCAAAGAACAAGATAGCCACTGACTTGTTCACTCACACATTCATTCGTTTACTACTCATGCATTCATTCATTCAACACATATTGCTGTGGGCCTAGACACATTGTGGAAGTTTCTAATAATGGTCCAGATTGTTTGTCATTGCTTCCATGGGAGGTGGGGTCTGTGGTCCCTTCCCTTGGATCTAGGCGGACTTGTGACTTCTTCAACCAATAGGGCATGGCAGAAGCAATGCTGTGTGACTCTGAGACTAGGTCCTAAAAGGCCACCAGTTTCTACTCGATTCTCCTGAAACACTCATTCTTGGTGCTTGCTTTGGGGATGCTCCTTCTTGGTACCCAGATGCTACAAGAAGTTCAAGCCACAAAAGCAGCCATGTATAAGTACTTTGGTCAACAGTTCAGACATGATATCTCAGCTCAGGTATAAGACATGTCGGTGAAAAAACCCCCAGATTCCAGCCCCCAGGCGCTTGAATCACTGCTCGCTGAGGCCCAAGACATTGTGGAGCAAAGACATCCATCCCCACCATCCCGTTTCACTTCCTAACACAACCCATGAGCATTATAACATGGGTGGTTGGTTTTTGTCACTAAGTTCAGGGTGGTTGTTACATAACAATAGATAACAGTGGGACACCTGTGAATCATGACTGTCAGCAATTGTCAGGAAGCAAAGACTATCAACGTTGGAAGCGAAACCCATTCAACTGATTTTGTGTTAAGGACTGATCTGGGTCCTGGGAACGAAAGGCCAGCCCTGTGAATTAGGCGGAGTGGGCATGAGGGTTCCCATTTTACAGATGAATAAACAGAGGTGGAGGGATGAAAAGAGATGAAGTGATCTACTTGGTGTCCCACAAACAACAAGGGGTGAAGTACGTATTGGAACCACATCTGTGCAGTAAAACCCTCCGCTGGACTCTGTCCTTTGGGAGGCACTTCCGTTAGGAGACAGCTGTGAACACAAACGACTCGGCGCCTGGACTCCCAGCACTTAAGGTCCAGTAAGGGAGGAAGGCAGCAAACAAATAGACCATTAGACTTGCCGTAAGAGTTTTGGAGGTGGTATAGCGGTGCGTATTGGAGAGCCAGATGCAGTCTGCGGTGAGGGCGGGGTACGGAATTCTGGGACTGCCTCCCCAAGAAAGTGACATGTCAGCAGAGCCGCTGGGACCCTCGTTCTGTTGGCCCAACATTAATTCTGTCCCAAACAATTAACTTAAGCTACCAGTTTTCCTTTTTGCCCAGTACCCACAAAAAATACATTTCAGATAGCACCCCAGGACACACACACACACACACACACACACACACACACACACACACACACA